CTATAAGCTATACATATTTCTGAATATAAACTTAATCTAAACAAACATTAATATTAAAATAAATATATAATAATAAATTCGTTACACTGTAAAAATAATACATGCTTTTATATTGATTATTACTAAAGTAACCTGTACATAAAACTAGTGTTTATTTTTATTTTGTTAAATAAAAAAAAGAGAGAAGAGAAAGGTCCATTACGTAAAACAATATTATGGGTTCTGTACTATCACAATGATATGTGCCAGAAATGAGTAGACTTAAATCAGAATGCACTATAATCCTAATTTCTATACAATACATTATAACATGAGACTAGGTTATTATTATCATTATACTATATTTTTCATAGGGAAAATACACACTTACTTGAATCACCCATCAAAACTAGCTTCTTATTTTTCAGCAAAGTCAAGATATCTTCCTTCAAAAATATGTCTGGCATTCTTAAAACTGTCAAGGTTGTACGAATAATACGGCATAAACAATAAGCAGAGGACACTCAACTTCGGAAATTCAAAATGAAAAGTATACAAATTACTACTAGCCGTCGTAACCGAGTAGCAACCTTACCACCCCCTAGTAAAGGCGCCACAAGATACAACTTGTAGAAAGCAAACAATTTTTGAATAAGTTAAATATGCCTTACTTATCACATGTCACTAACTGAATTAGTCGAAACAGTATGGTACATTAAATACGTTTTAGCAATAAATAATCAATCTTTAATAGCACTTTTGTACAATTTATAAAACAATAAAAAATAAAAGATACGAGACTTAATGAGCTGTCTTCATAAAAAAAAATCCAGCTTTGTCTCTGGTTATTCCTCATGGAAAAATATACAATTTTAGTGCATTTTAAGTCCTGGCAAGAGTTTGTTGCTCATAGTTTTGTGTATAACTTGAAGATTCAATTACATATGTGTGGCTCGCAGTAATCATATAACCTATGCTATTTTATGATTTGCTTTGTATTATTTTTTCTTTGATTATACTTCGAACATGATGGTTCGCCTTGTTATGATATTGATCTTGAAATTAGAAAGAAAAACTCGACCCATTATTGTAACAAACCAAAAAACTTCTATACAGTAAGGATATTTTAGGGGCATTTCTTTGAACCATTAAGGTTCGTTAAAACATAAACAGCTAGGTAAATTATGCCGATAAAAATAATTTAAACCAGAAAAATTTATGTGTTATCATTTTATGTTTCTACTCAGAATGGCTGAATTAGGAAGTAAATAAAATATTATTTTACATCATAATTGCTACTTATTTATTTTACATATCAACCCATATTGATGTGATAAAGAAAGCTGTTGATGAGAAACTATCGGTCCACGAACGTTCCCACAGGATATTTTGTGTGGAAACGTGGAACAGATTATCAGCGGCTTACGTTCAGCTACCGGTTCCTGCCTTTTTTTTTCTGCTAAAGCTGTGGTATGTGTATTATATCATTGTTTTCGGGATACACTTCAAATTCTTGCTGCGATATTTCACTGGATTTGTTGTTAAGCGCAAATCTATGCAATGGGCTATCTTTGCTGTGCCCCCCATGGGTATCAAAACCCAGGTTTTACCGTTATAAGCCACTGGGGCGTATTTCACTGGGAATGGAGGTAATAGCCGCTGTATTATACGCACAGGAATCTCACTTAAATTGTGCAGTTTAACTAATACTTATGCAAATTCTGTATGTATATATATATATATATTGTTGCGTCAGCGAGGTCACGTGACTAATGTCACGCCACCTGCTTTCTAGAACTATCCCGTTCCTTCGGGAGTGGTCTAGCATTTACTAAATTGGGGGTGGTCTGATATATATAAGATGGTCACGGCGTGACGTGACAGTGTGTGTGTAGACAGTGAGTA